ACCATTAGCCCTATCTTTGCAGAGGATGTTGTTAGCACACACCCGTTAGCCCTATCTTTGCAGAGGATGGTGTTAGCACACACCCGTTAGCCCTATCTTTGCAGAGGATGGTGTTAGCACACACCCGTTAGCCCTATCTTTGCAGAGGATGGTGTTAGCACACACCCGTTAGCCCTATCTTTGCAGAGGATGGTGTTAGCACACACCCGTTAGCCCTATCTGTGCAGAGGATGGTGTTAGCACACACCCGTTAGCCCTATCTTTGCAGAGGATGGTGTTAGCACACACCCGTTAGCCCTATCTTTGCAGAGGATGGTGTTAGCACACACCCGTTAGCCCTATCTTTGCAGAGGATGGTGTTAGCACACAGCGTTAGCCCTATCTTTGCAGAGGATGGTGTTAGCACACACCCGTTAGCCCTATCTTTGCAGAGGATGGTGTTAGCACACACCCGTTAGCCCTATCTTTGCAGAGGATGTTGTTAGCACACACCGTTAGCCCTATCTTTGCAGAGGATGGTGTTAGCACACACCGTTAGCCCTATCTTTGCAGAGGATGGTGTTAGCACACACCCGTTAGCCCTATCTTTGCAGAGGATGTTGTTAGCACACACCGTTAGCCCTATCTTTGCAGAGGATGGTGTAGGCACACACTGTTAGCCCTATCTTTGCAGAGGATGGTGTTAGCACACACCCGTTAGCCCTATCTTTGCAGAGGATGGTGTTAGCACACACCCGTTAGCCCTATCTTTGCAGAGGATGTTGTTAGCACACACCGTTAGCCCTATCTTTGCAGAGGATGGTGTAGGCACACACTGTTAGCCCTATCTTTGCAGAGGATGTTGTTAGCACACACCCGTTAGCCCTATCTTTGCAGAGGATGGTGTTAGCACACACCCGTTAGCCCTATCTTTGCAGAGGATGTTGTTAGCACACACCGTTAGCCCTATCTTTGCAGAGGATGGTGTTAGCACACACCGTTAGCCCTATCTTTGCAGAGGATGGTGTTAGCACACACCCGTTAGCCCTATCTTTGCAGAGGATGTTGTTAGCACACACCGTTAGCCCTATCTTTGCAGAGGATGGTGTTAGCACACACTTTAGCCCTATCATTGCAGAGGATGGTGTTCCACTGTTCTACATAGCAGCATGCCAATCACAGCTCTGGCGATGGGAGTGTGCGCAAGGTCAGCTGTTCCACACAGACATATAAATAGAGTTGCTGCCGGACAGGACAAATTTGGTCACGCCTGATAATATGATAGATAAATACCCCTGCACAAGGCCAAAGGGATCAAAGGTCACGTAGATACACCCTGGTGTACTCAGTGGCTTTGAGACTAGGGAACTCGTTTCTGTAACCACGGTTCCATCGCTGCAAGATGGTTTAGACACAATTCTTTAGAAAAAGTTCGTTCTCGTGGCCTTAGGTCTGTTGTATGAGAACCTTCAGTTAGCAAAAGAACTCTGCATGATTATAGAGCCTCGGAGAGGTGGTTTCAGAAAGGAATCCAGATGTTTTGAAAGAGGCGAGTACTTGAAGAGAACCTATCACAGACATCAGAAAGAGACAGTCATATTTTTTTTTTTTTGGGGGGGGGGGGGGGGTCATGTTATGAGAAAAGAAGCTGGAACATGTTGTGAGGACTGGAAAGATCTGTAGAAACTAGAGAGACAGAAGAAGACAGCACGAAACAATCTTTTATCATGGCATGGAATGGTGTCAGCACACAAACTGATACATACTGACAAGAATAGATCACCAGATGTGTGTGATGATGGTGGCAGACAAGAATAGATCACCAGATGTGTGTGATGATGGTGACAGACAAGAATAGATCACCAGATGTTTGTGATGATGGTGGCAGACAAGAATAGATCACCAGATGTGTGTGATGATGGTGGCAGACAAGAATAGATCACTAGATGTTTGTGATGATGGTGGCAGATGATAATAGATTACCAGATGTTTGTGATGATGGTGGGAGACGAGAATAGATTACCAGATGTTTGTGATGATGGTGGGAGACGAGAATAGATCACCAGATGTGTGTGATGATAGTGGCAGATGTGAATAGATCACCAGATGTGTGTGATGATGGTGGCAGACAAGAATACATCACCAGATGTTTGTGATGATGGTGGCAGATAAAAATCCTAAACACTGAAACAACTGGGTGGATGGTATACAACCTTTGAAATCCGGTTAATTATGAGACAAAGAGCGGCTGTGTTTTAGACTTGGCAATCAAGACAGAATGTGAAACATATTACAGACTGCATTTAAAATTAAAGATCCTTTAGGGGCGAGAAATGGGAATGAAAGAAGGCAGAAAACTGTTATTAAAAAGTGAATGTGAAAAATGCGTTTTTCCATCTTTCTTGGTTGAGAAGCCAAGGCGTAATGGGTCCTCCCATTTCAGCTCACACATTATGGGCTCCCCATTTCAGTCTGGTCCAGCCAAGCATGAAAACTTTAAAATTCAATATCCCCTCTAACAGTCCAAGAGTGACGATGGCAGAGATATTCTCTCCCCTTAACTGAAATGAGAAAACACATCGTAAATAAGACCCAGTCTCATTGGCGTTGACACGTGTGGTGTGTGCCATGGGCCCAGTAGGTCACGCTTGATTACCCCTTGAGCACACTTGGCCGCTCGGATAAGCTGTTTCCATCTCTGGCTTTATCAATTAGGAACGTAAAACTGTGATGCAATTTCACGTCCCTAGATAGAACTTGACTTTTCTTCTTTTTCATTTTTAATCTCCCTTACTTTTTGTTACTTAATTTTTTTTTTTTTTTTTATAATTTCTTCTTGTATTTTTTCCCCCTGTTGTTGTAATCTCGCCTACTTTAGAAACTGGAGCTGATGTTCTTTCTGTTGCCATCAAGCGGCCACAGATCGATGCGGCCGTATTGTGGCGGTCATTTATCTCGCGGCTCACAGGAGCTGTAAGAACGAAAAAGCCAGTAACGTTAACACTGATGGCTGGAGGTGTCAGCGGCTTGTGGAGAAGGATGTGTTCATCTATGAACAAGTTCCTTAATTATTTCCGTTTTCACATTTACCTTCTGAGTTAATGCCCATTTAAAATGCAGTTTTTCATTTTCATTTCGATTTTTGACCTTTTTAAATTGCTTTTAAAATCTATTTATGTGTAGTTTATGCTTCTCTTGAATACCTATAAATTATCTAGAGCATGACTACGTGTGCTTTGTTTGTAACGTCAGTCAAATAATAATTATGTTGTCAAGTACTTTTTAAACTCCAGAATAGTAACTTAGGTTGTGTGTGTGTGTGTGTGTGTAATTGCTTACCTGCCTGCGCTGAAGAGCCACCAGACCCTAACATAATAGTACTGAAGAGTTGAATGGGGTTTCCGCCATGTGCTGCTGTTTGATTCTCATACTTGAGCTGTTCATGCCACGGTCGGCAGTCCTGGTGACGAGTTGAAGATAACGTCGAGGGGGTCGACTTATGTACCCGGTTGCCTCTTTTGGCTTGTTCTCTCCACAAAACAGCTTGCCGTTTAAAATGATGTGCCCAGGTTTCGGCACCTGTAAAGATTTAAGCCAACATGTTCTCTACACGAGATTGAATCGCTCAAATAATTCGGAAGTAATTACTGTCTTCTGCAGTTGATGGTCATTTGTGAGACTGAGGAAACTATCTTAAGAAAATAAGAGAGTTTTTGTAATTTTATTTGCACCATCACTGCTCACTGACAGCTGTTAGACCAATTGTTGGTATTCAACTATCAGTAATAATAAAGCCCTCAGCGCATTTCAACATGAATGCGTTTGGGGCTGCGGCTGGACGCCACGGCGCCAGCGATCAAGCAGCTCCATCTCTACGTACTGAGTTTTTACTTCTCTGAAACCAGCGACTGTGCTCCTATCGACTGCAAAACTTTATACTGTACACCACGCAGTAGTTTGCTATTTACACAAGATTCCTTCTCTGCAGCGAGAAATTCTGTCATAATTCGCTGCTTCTAACGCAAGCCGCCAATACTCTCCATTTAAACGGTTTAGTGCAGGCATATTATTTCACGGCTGCGGTGCAATTTAGTACACACGGTTGGCACATACCATATTTGAAGTTTGCAAAAGTCCATGTTTCTATCTTTATTTTTGGCTGAACAACACGACATGGTGTATCAGTTTCTAAACGCTCTCCTATAGCTAATATACTCTTGCAGTATTTTTACAAGCCACTTCTTGTCATCTCTGCTTGTGTTGACACGTAGCCGAAATATTGGTTGTATGGGCACATATAACAACAAGCTCTAGATGTTTGTCACCCAACATCACCTACACATTAGTCCTCAATTTGACCTTGTCAAGTTGAACAATATTACTGAGTTCAGATTTACATCTGGTAAATGTTATCTAGGTCATGCCAGATGTAGCTGCTTATTCTAGAACTGGAAATGAGAAAGCCACAGTTTTCAGGTTTGTTTTGTTGGGCAATAGTACACTTTTAGTTTATGTAGAGCTATAGATCTTGGCTGTTTCATATAATAATGTGTCATGGTTTTAGGCCAAAATATTGTCATTATTTCGTTTTAGCTTAGCAGTTGCCCGAACGTATACGTGTTGGAGCAGGTAGGGGATTACTGATCTATTTCTGACCATTTCTGACTCCCGTCTGGTTAAATACCTCAACTTGTTCAAAGGCTAAATTAATCTGTTTTGTTTCTCTATCTTTGAAGCGTTAATTTGAGTGTGTTTACGCATAAGAAACGGAGATACGCAAAAAAGAGGGGGGAGGGGTGTGGGAGTGGTGGTTGCCTAAATAGTTTGTTTTTCAGCCAGACTACTTGAGATAGATAGTAATTTTCCTATAAATAAATGTGGGATGACTGTGTAAGTTGTTACCTAATACAAGCGAATGTTTCATTCTTGATAATTGATCGTCGTCATCATCATCATCACCATCATCATCGTCATCATCATCATCATCATCATCATCATGTATTTGTCTCTGTTATTCCCAGAAATCATCAGAAGTCATCAACAAGATTCCCACCATCGTCTTGTCCATATCATTTAAAGGGGTCAAATTCATCGACGCAGCGTCCAAGGTGAGTCTAGTCTGTGTCACCTGTTGGGCCATTAAGGTCATTGTTGTTCTGAAGGTCAACAAAACGGACACAGAGAGAGACTTCGGGTCACACTCAGGAGTGATTACTGGACGTTGAGGCTAAAGAGTCCTCATCAGCACAAAAACAACATACAGTGATACTGCAACATAAATCTAACACTACATGTGGCTGAGATGTTTGAGGGGTAAAGTCCCACAGAGCTGGAAATGTCCAGGCACAGGGATCAGCAATGCACACATACATATGCTTGTGGTAGGTCAGTGAGAAAGGGGCACATCCACATACAGTCGAAAGGGCGAGAGAAAAAAAAAAGGGGGGGGGGGAGTGAGAAGCGTGCAAATATTAACACACACACAAAATTCTTTTATAACTGGGACTGGAGGGTTATAGTAAGAACTGGCTGGGGACGAGGGGGGGGGGGGGGGTGCGCTGTTATAGTAAGAGCTAGCTTGGACTTTAAGGGGGGGGGGGGGGGGTTATAGTAAAAAGTGGCTAGGACTTTGGGCGGGGGTTATAGTAAAAAGCGGCTAGGACTTTGGGGCGGGGGTTATAGTAAAAAGCGGCTAGGACTTTGGGGCGGGGGTTAAAGTAAAAAGCGGCTAGGACTTTGGGGCGGGGGTTATAGTAAAAAGCGGCTAGGACTTTGGGGCGGGGGTTAAAGTAAAAAGCGGCTAGGACTTTGGGGCGGGGGGGGGGGGGGTTATAGTAAAAAGCGGCTAGGACTTTGGGGCAGGGGGGGTTATAGTAAAAGCTAGCTTGGACTTTGGGGCGGGGGGGGGGGGGTTATAGTAAAAAGCGGCTAGGACTTTGGGGCGGGGGGGGGGGGTTATAGTAAAAAGCGGCTAGGACTTTGGGGCGGGGCGGGGGGGGGGGTTATAGTAAAAAGCGGCTAGGACTTTGGGGCGGGGGTTATAGTAAAAAGCGGCTAGGACTTTGGGGCGGGGGTTATAGTAAAAAGCGGCTAGGACTTTGATTTGGGGTGGGTGTTATGGTAAGAGCTGGCTGGGACTTATATATTAGGGCTGTACCGAATAGTGATTTTCACTATTCGGCCGAATACGAATAGCTGGACCAACTATTCGGCCGAATACGAATACGAATAGTTAATCATCATCATCAGGTGCTTTGCTGACTGGCATGGGCGATCATGCCTCTCCACAATCTGCGATCTCCTGCAGCATGTATCAGTTCGTGTGCTGACACACCTCCATGCCATGCAACAAGACTGTCAAGAATCTTCTCTCGTTGTCTTCCTCTATCCCTCCATCCACAGATCTTTCCAGTGGTCACCACATGTTCCATTTCCCCTCAACTCATAACATGGCCGAAAAATGATGACTGTCTTCTTCTGATGTCTGTGAGTAGTTGTCTTCCGGCTCCCGCCTCTTTCAAAACCTAGTGGTTGCTTCTTTTGTGTGTGTGTGTGTGGGGGGGGGGGGTGTCCAAGGTATTTTAAGCATTGTTCTGTAAAACCACACCTCTGAGGCCTCAAAAAATTGTTTTACCTGCTTACCGATTGTCCAGGACTTACAACCGTATGTTAAAACTAGATGTATGTAGCAAGCAAAAATTCTTTTTGTAACCTTTATTGACAAAGATAAATTGCATAAGATGTTTTTCATTTTATAAAATGCAGTTTTTGCCTGTCCTATTCTGTTTCTTATTTCAGTAATGCATCTTCGATTTGATGTTATCCATGTGCCCAGATACTTACATTTCTGTTCTTGTCCCAAAATAAAACCATTGACTTTTATTAGACATTTAGGAATAAATATTTTCTTTGATATCACCATTACTTGTCTTCCAACTATTCAAACTGAGGCCCATTTTTCCACTTTCCAATAGTGTATACAATAGATCTAAAAAAAAAAAAAGAAAAAAAAAAAGACATCCATAGTGTCAAATCTACGCTGGAATTTTACTTCACAAAATGTAGTACAGAATAGTAAACATTTAAAAACATTCTATGTTTTGCATCTTTCAGTCAGTCAGTCTGTGGAAACTAATAACTAGGAATGAAAGTATTCTTAGTTTTATAACAAGTAACTAAACTTGTGAATTGTCACTGACAGCTTAGTTAATCCATTCTTCTTCTTCTTGTTTTCTCTTTAAACCTGACTGTTTTTATGAGTTCCTTTTTAGTCCCTTACAACTTTGTGTGCAGTGCTGACTCTCTGGGCCAGTATTCCCTTCTTAATGGAATGAACAAGGGACAGTCTTGCAGGCCATGTTCTGTAGTCTGCACACAAGGACACACGGGTGAACTACTTAGACGAAGCCTGTGCATATGCTGGTTAAGTTTGTTATGTCCTGTCCTGAGACGCAGGACAATGACCTGCCCATGCCGGTCAAGTAAGTGGTAGTCATCTCTGGCCAGACTCTGTTCACTTCTAATAGCCTGGATGGCTTTTTTCTTCTCATAGTATGTTACTGTATTCTCTTCCTGGTCACATCCTGCCCCTTTCTTAGCAAGTTTATCTGCACATTGTTTCCTGGTATACCACAGTGGGATGGCATCCACTGGAGTACACCTTTGGGCAGCCACCTTGCCAAGTTCAGATCTCATATGAGGGAGTTTGCCACTCTTGGGGGCTTGAAGCACTAATAGGGCATCTGTGAATATGACCACTTAGTGGCAGTCAGAACTGGTGTTATGTAACATTTCGCAGCCTGCTCTAGTGCTACGATCTATGAGTTAATCCATGAAAGCGGCATTAGCTTTTAAAAAAAGATTGTTCCATGTTGTCAGCATTAAGGCATCTTCTTGTCTCACTGAAGTTATTTCCAGCTGTACTAAACAGACGTTCACTTGGTACGCTCGTAAGTGGTGCACAAAGACAACGCTTGACAGTGTGAACCAAGGTGGGAAATCTTGACGTGTTTATTTTCTACCAGTCCAGAAACGGGTGTAAGGTAACCACTATTCGTATTCGGCCCGACCACAACTATTCAGCCGAATACCGAATAGTTATTAGGTCCACTATTCGGCACCGAAGCGAATATTCGGTGCAGCCCTAATATATATATCCCCAAAACCCATTAAAAACCTACCCAGGTCTATATATATCAGCGAGACCTACTAATACCCGACCCAGCCATGTATGTTAAGGAGACCCACTAATACCCTACCCAGCCATGTATGTTAAGGAGACCCACTAATACCCGACCCAGCCATATATGTTAAGGAGACCCACTAATACCCGACCCAGCCATATATGTTAAGGAGACCCACTAATACCCGACCCAGCCATATATGTTAAGGAGACCCACTAATACCCAACCCAGCCATATATGTTAAGGAGACCCACTAATACCCGACCCAGCCATGTATGTTAAGGAGACCCACTAATACCCAACCCAGCCATAAATGTTAAGGAGACCCACTAATACCCGACCCAGCCATATATGTTAAGGAGACCCACTAATACCCAACCCAGCCATATATGTTAAGGAGACCCACTAATACCCGACCCAGCCATATATGTTAAGGAGACCCACTAATACCCAACCCAGCCATTTATGTTAAGGAGACCCACTAATACCCGACCCAGCCATATATGTTAAGGAGACCCACTAATACCCTACCCAGCCATATATGTTAAGGAGACCCACTAATACCCGAGCCACAATTGTTGTGTCTGCAGAAAGTAGTGTGCGACCACGAGATCGCCAACATTTTCTGTGCCTGCCAGGACGGAGAGCACATGAACTTCTTCGCCTACATCACCAAGGATCGGGAGGTGGGCAAGCATTATTGCCACGTCTTCAGTGTCCGCAGCAAGGTCAGTCTCCCTGTCTGTCAGTGTTTGTCTTCTCCGCAGCAAGGTCAGTCTCTCTGTCTGTCAGTGTTTGTCTTCTCTTCGGTGTCCGCAGCAAGGTCAGTCTCACTGTCTGTCAGTGTTTGTCTTCTCCACAGCAAGGTCAGTCTCACTGTCTGTCAGTGTTTGTCTTCTCCACAGCAAGGTCAGTCTCACTGTCTGTCAGTGTTTGTCTTCTCTTCAGTGTTCGCAGCAAGGTCAGTCTCCGTGTCTGTCAGTGTTTGTCTTCTCTTCAGTGTCCCCAGCAAGGTCAGTCTCCGTGTCTGTCAGTGTTTGTCTTCTCTTCAGTGTTCGCAGCAAGGTCAGTCTCACTGTCTGTCAGTGTTTGTCTTCTCTTCAGTGTCCGCAGCAAGGTCAGTCTCACTGTCTGTCAGTGTTTGTCTTCTCTTCAGTGTCCGCAGCAAGGTCAGTCTCACTGTCTGTCAGTGTTTGTCTTCTCTTCAGTGTCCGCAGCAAGGTCAATCTCCGTGTCAGTCAGTGTTTGTCTTCTCTTCAGTGTCCGCAGCAAGGTCAGTCTCTCTGTCTGTCAGTGTTTGTCTTCTCTTCAGTGTCCGCAGCAAGGTCAGTCTCCGTGTCAGTCAGTGTTTGTCTTCTCCGCAGCAAGGTCAGTCTCTCTGTCTGTCAGTGTTTGTCTTCTCCGCAGCAAGGTCAGTCTCTCTGTCTGTCAGTGTTTGTCTTCTCTTCGGTGTCCGCAGCAAGGTCAGTCTCCGTGTCTGTCAGTGTTTGTCTTCTCTTCAGTGTCCCCAGCAAGGTCAGTCTCCGTGTCTGTCAGTGTTTGTCTTCTCTTCAGTGTCCGCAGCAAGGTCAGTCTCCGTGTCTGTCAGTGTTTGTCTTCTCTTCAGTGTCCGCAGCAAGGTCAGTCTCTCTATCTGTCATTGTTTGTCTTCTCTTCAGTGTCTGCTTCAAGGTCAGTCTCCGTGTCTGTCAGTGTTTGTCTTCTCTTCAGTGTCCGCAGCAAGGTCAGTCTCCGTGTCTGTCAGTGTTTGTCTTCTCTTCAGTGTCCGCAGCAAGGTCAGTCTCTCTATCTGTCATTGTTTGTCTTCTCTTCAGTGTCTGCTTCAAGGTCAGTCTCCGTGTCTGTCAGTGTTTGTCTTCTCTTCAGTGTCCGCAGCAAGGTCAGTCTCCGTGTCTGTCATTGTTTGTCTTCTCTTCAGTGTCTGCTTCAAGGTCAGTCTCTCTGTCAGTGATTTCCTCTCCTTTTCTTGTTTTGTGGCTGTAACTCCGGCCGAAAGTTCTGGTTATTCGTCTACCTCTGGACTTTAGTCTTGTTCCAGAACCTGAGTGATGCGTGCACATCCATTTTCCATACATGACTTATTGGTATGCAAATTGTTGTTTCCTTGCCTGTCAGGAAGATATACTACAACTTCAAAGGAAACCCCCAGTTATTAGAATGCTTGCTGAGAAAGCAGTGGATATATTCTTGTTTCAACACAACGGTGTGTGTATATGTGCGCGCATGTGTGTGTGTGTGTGTGTGTGTGTTTGTCAGTCTGTCTATCCATGGCTGACTGTAGTTATCTTAATGACGGTCGGCCATGATCTGTCTGAGCTCGGCGGTGTGTTTGAAAGGGTATTGTGATGATGATGGCTGTAGTGGTCGTGACCGTCACACATTGTCTAGCTAAACAACTGCCTGTCTGTTTATCTAGCTAAACAACTGCATGTCTGTTTATCTAGCTAAACAACTGCCTATCTGTTTATCTAGCTAAACAACTGCCTGTCTGTTTATCTAGCTAAACAACTGCCTGTCTGTTTATCTAGCTAAACAACTGCCTGTCTGTTTATCTAGCTAAACAACTGCCTGTCTGTTTATCTAGCTAAACAACTGCCTTTCTGTTTATCTAGCTAAACAACTGCCTGTCTGTTTATCTAGCTAAACAACTGCCTGTCTATTTATCTAGCTAAACAACTGCCTGTCTGTTTATCCGTCTGTGTGCCTGTCCATCGGTACGTCCTTCTGTCTGTATTTGTAAATATAGTGATCCACATAGTGCTCATATGTGATGAAAAGGTCACGTAAACGACTCTATTCCACGCCTTGATATTGGGAATATAGGGCTAGACCTATATTTGATAGACTAATCGGCACTCGGTGGGTCATGTGGCCAACATCACGCCGGCCGCCTTTACTTCCCATGTCTTTACCTGGTACCAATGTAAGGATGGATCGACATAGCCAAGGTCACTTAAAAAAAGCCCGTTTCTGTCTTCACCTGAACCCACAACCCTCGGATCCGCAGGCGATCATCTAGCCACTACACCACGGTGGCTCCCGGATAAAAGGGTAGTGTTGATGGTGGTTGTCATGACAACGATGATTACAGTGCGCAGGTATATCACAGTGATGGTGGTTGTCATGACAACAATGATTACAGTGCGCAGGTATATCACAGTGATGGTGGTTGTCATGACAACAATGATTACAGTGCGCAGGTATATCACAGTGATAGTGGTTGTCATGACAACGATGATTACAGTGGGCAGGTATATCACAGTGATGGTGGTTGTCATGACAACAATGATTACAGTGGGCAAGTATATCACATTGATTGTGGTTGTCATGAAAACGATGATTACAGTGCGCAAGTATATTACAGTGATTGTGAAAACACATAGCTAAGTTGTATTTTGTCCCAGTTCCCCCCCCCCCTCCCACACACCCCCCACCCCAAAACCACGAGTGCATTTTTGGGGGGTCCTCCGTGGAGGTCAACCCCTAGCACTCCAGGATTCTGAAATTGTTAAGCGCATTCACTAACTACAGAGCAGAGGCAGTGATATCGTGATGTGATAATGTAGTGGTGACAATCTGTACCGAATGTAAACAAATAGAATTGATGGCAACGAGTGCAGTGATTGATGTAATTGCTGATAAAGATACATATCAACTAAATATAATGATATCAGTTAGAAGACAAGATCCGGAGAAGGGAGTCCACCCAGTCACCTTCCTCAAACCCCGGAATCACGTCAGCGGACTCGGCGTGTCCTCGATGAGTGGTCGACGATGGGCAAGAAAGTACCACTGTACTGGGTAGTTCACAAAAGCCTACAATTCCCGCAATGCCTTGGGCTTTTTTCAACTCTGGGTTTTACCCGGTAATTACAAGGGATGCTGGGGGAGAAGGGACACAGCATGATCGGGTCGCTCTTGTGTCCCCTACCTTCTGATCATCGACACGGGAAACGAGTGTGATATTTGGCCTGTTGGCACTTCCAACATCACACGCAACTGGGAGATCTTTGATTTCTGCACAAATTATTCCTTGATTTCATGATTTATTGTCAGAATTTGAGGCTCGGAACATACCCCCTCCCTGTTTGCCCGCCCTCTCAACAAGCTGTTTCCTGATTTGTGTTTAGACTCTCTGGTCGGCATATTGTCTGTCTGTCTGTCTGTCTGTCTGTCTGTCTGTCTGTCTGTCTGTCTGTCTGTCTGTCTGTCTGTCTGTCTGTCTGTCTGTCTGTCTGTCTGTCTGTCTGTCTGTCTGTCTGTCTGTCTGTCTGTCTGTCTGTCTGTCTGTCTGTCTCGCTTTCCCACGCGCCTCTTTCTTGTTCTTTATCGCTTTCAATCGGCCACTCTGTGTGTCCTTTCACCATGTTTGTGTCTGTCGCCTGATAGACGAGGACCAATAGTCTTATACAAAAAAGCCACTTCAGTGAAACAGAAATGCACCCAAAAATGCAAGACCTGGAACAAGATTAATGTCCAGACTCGACAGACAACACACACTACTTCAAACAAAAAGACAACCAGAAACGCATGATTATTCTGTTATATTCCTCTCGTGGAAAAACTAAAAGCGGCCACCCTAAGGACGCAACCTGTTGCAAGTTAGTAATACTTTAGATGGGGTGTTAGGTTACATTTGTGTAGGTTCACATAATAATATTCTTTAATATTATTTGCGATTAGGGTAAGCACCACCACCAGGACAACCACAACCACCGCCGTCGCTACTACCACCACCTTGACTACCACCACCACTACCCTCATTAGTACCACTACATCTACAACTACTACCACCCCAACCACTACATCCCCCAACCACTACTACTACTCCTATCACCACAACCGATTTGACCGCTTTAGTTGTAGAGGCAAATATAAATCTTGTGATATTTTGACTTCCGCATATTTAATTCTCTCATTATTACCCTCGTCGTCGTCGTCATCACGTGCTGTGTCGATAAGGATATCATGTGGTCTCACACAATCTTCAGAATCACGGATCAGGTCAGTGTCCTTGTCTGGTTCCATCACTACAGCTAAGCCATCCAGGTATACATCTCCTTGTCTTCCCCGTGCTCTTTTGACGCCACTGTTGCTAGTCATGAACAAGTTCTGGAGCCGATTCCTTCTCATAACATGCCCGAAGCACACCGACTGACAACGTCTGGGTTGTCTAACGTGTTTATGTCCTGTATCTGTCTCGAGGAGGACTGTCTCGGGTAGGACTGTCTCGGGTAGGACTGTCTCGGGTAGGACTGTCTCGGGTAGGACTGTCTCGGGTAGGACTGTCTCGAGTAGGACCGTCTCACTTGTTTGTCTAACATGACATGAAATTCTGTGCATTATTCTAAACCACCATATTGAGGCTAGGAGTCAATATTTGTCATGGTATTTGCTTATTGTCCCTCTCTCACATACACACAACAACGCAGCCTCTCTGTAAAGCACATTAGTACTGCAGTTGAGTGGTATCTTGTGGTCTTTTGCGTCTTGCTAAAGACCACTTTGACCAGATCTAGTCCTGCTCACACTATAAGTTATCTTTGTTTTCTGTTACAAATATTGATTGAACTTTCCGGACACCAGATTTAGGTTTTGGTCTTTGTCGCCCTGGGGCAGCTCCATCTGCCCTCGCCAGTCGTCTCGGATTGATGTTTTTATTAACATTTCGGACAGCGAGACCAATTCTGGAGGAACCGGGTCGATAAATACAAACGGCGGTAACCTT